TTAGAGAATGGCTTTGAAGAGCTCATTTCTCCTCAGAGACCATATTTGTTCACCTTCTTCCTCTCCTTGGCTATCTCTCCCAGAATCTTTTCCACTTTTCCCCAAGTACCAAGGGAAAACAAGAACACTGAAAACTGCTGAGAAATATCCACTCAATTCGCTTCTCTCCAGATTAGGGAATGTTAAAATTCTCAGAAAGTGGTCAACTTGCCAGTAACATCCCAAGAAAGCTTAAGAGGCAAGCTTCTCTCCTCTGCTCAAAGATTTCAACTTACATTTTCTTCCTTGTCTATTTGTCTCAGCAGTTTTGTGCAGTCATATCACTGTTGTTCAATTATTCTTGAAGAGTGTGACAAGTGCTTCTATCTTTATGGGCCCACTTCAGTATCATCAAAGTGAGAAATTATGTGGTGAATATTCAAATCTCTCATAGCGGCCCCCCCCTCCAAATTGCCATGCAGAATAATTTAAAGTGCAGTCTATCAGACATGGGGGGCGGGATTTTATAGAATTTACTTGCTTAATGGACTTAATGGACGTAACACTAATTTCCACCACTTATGGAACCCTCCGAAGTGTGAAGTCTCTCTTTGTCTCCCTCTGTCTCCCTGCTCTCCATTTTGCCAGTACTGAGGCTTGAACACAGGGGTCTACATGCCATTCCTTAGCTTTTCCCCCTCAAGGCTCGATCTTTCCACCACTAGAGACACAGCTCCACCTCCTACAGTGGCTTTTTGCTGCTCAATTGGAGATAAGAATCTCAAGGACTTTCCAGTCTGGGCTGACATCAAACTGCAATCTTCAGATCTCAGCCTCTAAAGTAGCTAGGATGATAGACAACCTTGATTGAGTCCTTGGCCCTCAGTTTTTGTCCCCAGGCTCACAGTGCTTACTCACCATTATTTTTTGATGGACACTTATTCACTATCTCCTCAGATTGCAAAATTGAAAGTGAAGGTAACCAGAGTTAGAGAAGGGCAAATAGTGATTAAACTGAATAGGACTGATTCTTATCAGGACATTAGCATTTCACAGACTTACATTAAAGTGAATACTAGAAGAGATTCCAGTCAGGACATTAGCATTTGACAGACTGGCATTAACACTTAGATTGTGCTTTTCAAGTAGATGTAAATGAGTACCTGGTCCAACTGTTTCTGTTCTCTCAGAATCACACAGAGGAACTTAAAGTGAAATACATTTTATTAAATAGAGTACAGAATTCAGCTGTGAGCTAGTGGCTGAAGCCTGTAATCTTATCTACTCTGGAGGCAGAAACCAGAAGATTTAAAGTGAGCCCTGGCAGAAAATTCTGCAACTCTATCTCTACTTAACCAGCAAAAAGCCAAGACTGTAGGTGTAGTTCAACTGGGTAGAGCACCAGCTGAATGACAGCTTAAAGACCTGAATTCAAGTCCCAGTACTCCAGTAGTGGTGTGTGTGCGAGCACACACACACACACACATACACTCAATCAATATTTACACTTAAATGTTTTTCCCTTATGCTCTAAAATAAGAATGCATGATGAAAATACCAGTTTTCTACATTTTAACTATATCTGACGTTAATTCTGTGCAAAAGTGTTAGGCTTGAGCACAAAAGTTCTAGGACAGCACCCAAGCCCTGAGTTCAAGCCTTAAGATGAACAAAAGAAAAAAGTATTATTTATCTGACTTATGTAAGTGTAACCCTTCTGTACATCACCTTTACAATAAATTTTTTTTAAATACAAAAAAGGGGGGGGAAGAACCACTCATCTATAGAACACTTTAATTCTACCTCAGATTTAGATGTCTAGTCTGATTAGGTCAGTATTAGGAAAACATGTTAGCACATTCAACACATGCAATCTAATTGTATATAGAGAGCTCTGAGGCAGGTCCTGGTGGCTCAGGCTTATAACTCTAGCTATCCAGGAAGCTGGAATCTGAGGGCCACAATTTGAAATCAGCTGGGCAGGAAAAGTCCATGAGACTTATCTCCAGTTAACTTCCAAAAAGCCAGAAATGGAGCTGTGGCTCAAAGTGGTAGAGAAGTAGCCTCCAGCAAAAAAAAAAAAAAAAAATCCTCAGGGACAGCTCCCAGGAGTTCAAACTCCAGGACTGGGGGAAAAGAAAAAAAAAAGCTCTGAGCAAAATCAGTGACATAAATGCATAATATAAAAAATGACCAGAAAACCAATGGCAACTCTAGACCAATTGCTAATGACAATTACACTAAACCCAACTTAACAAAATTATCTCTAGAAACTTGCCATTGGAGTTTCACTGTTCTATCACATACTCATCAACCTCTTTAGCTTTGACTATTACACAAAGAAACACTTCACATAACACACACACACATACACACAAACACACACATAAAAGAAGGACTTAACTTCTTATCAGACTGAGATAATAGAAGTAGCTGACATATAATTAAAGAAAGCTGATTATGGAATAAAAATTCATTTCCCATATGACTGATCCACTAACTCATTTGACTTGTCCAGCAAGACAGAAAGTAGCACGGTAGAGCCAGGATTCCCAAATCCATTCACTAGCAATAATGAATACACACTTTAAAGATGTGCTGATACACTTAAACCTGGCAGAAATGCAAAGAGATAATCAGTAGGACATCATTTATCTTCATTTTGAAAATAAGCAAAGCAGCAACCTGGGGCCCTGCTCTGCCCTCCTTCTACTTTTGCATGTGGTAACATATCTTTACTCTTCCCCATGCAAAGACTCCATCTACTTCTGAGCCTACAAATCACAACCAAGCCACTGGTCCTAGTGAAAACTGATCAAGATTTTTAGATAAATTACGACAAACTCCATCCTGATTTAGCCATATATTCAAAGAGCAGACCCTACCAGGGATGGCTCACCAGTATCATCCATTCTTTAACCTCACCACAGAGGCTCTGCTTACTGAAGGCTGCAACTGCTAGAGAGACCTAAAGCACAATGTTCATGATATTCCTTGGATGATTAAAATGGAAACTTGAGGGATGGAATCTAGGCTTCATATTTTGTAGAATACTCTTCGTGACTCCAAGCTTGAAAAACAGAAAGTGTCCAAGAAAGATGGTGTGGATTAAATGTATGGACATATTATACGAAACAAAATAAAAATATTAGAGAACGTAAGAAGGAAGGAGGCAATTTATATTTCAAATTTCAAAAATTAGCAGAACTTAATAGTTTTGCTATTTATATCAGATAGATGTGGGAATTGATGTTGTTCTACAGTACTTTTCATTTCAGGTTTGGTTGAAGCTTGAGTATGGCTTCCTGTCGTACTGACATTAGCAAGGGCCATGTTGAGAGCTTCCCTGTGGGAAAATGACTGCTTTGTGTACAAATCATTAAATGTCAGGGAAATAACAATCTCAACTGGAGTGAGTTGTATCACATACATGGAGAAAAATGGTAGCGCTTGTACACCTGTAGCCATCCCCAGTGACAGCAGGTAGGTGCTGTTTCTACTGTTTGAAAGAAATATTCAACTTATACACAGAGGCAAAGGCTAAACAGATGTAGGATCGTATTGAAGTGATAGCTAAAATAGCTATGTCTATAAAGAGTTCATCGTAATTCATAGATATATTCAAATAGAATGGTACGTGACCAGTTGCATGCAAGACAGGTCAGTAGAACTGTCCCCAGGACCTGGTCAGATTTCAGCCACAATGATAATACCCTTCTGTAATAATTACCCAGACACTACTCATTAATATAATTCCTGTCATTTAAGTGTATAAACCCCATATTCATTCTATTCAGATTCTGTGAAATGATCAAATCGTCAAGAAGGTTTTAAAAATCATTACAACTGACAGAGGCTTACTGAAATCTTGTATCAAGCAGGATCCACAGACGGGACAGTTAGATTAGAACCAAAGCAGCAGACATGAGGGCAACCTGTGGAGTATTTCCTTCACACCTAGCTCAACTACATAAATGCTACTTCCTGCTGCCTTCTCATGGGCACACAGAGAGTGATCCCACAGTTTAGGTCCTGAGGAGCTCTGGGGAAGATTTTAAGGCAGTTTTAATTGCGGTATTCAGAAAAGAAGAGAACAGAGTACCAAAAGCTTTATGAACAAATTACAGGAAATAGACACACACACAAAAAAAAACCCAGCAATGACAAGAAAATGAGATTGCCTCAAAGTTGTGCTCACTTAACAAGTACAAATTGATAAAACTGACAAGCTTCCTTGCATGCACATCCTAGGGAGACAAGCAGGACCTCAGAAACTAGTTAGGAGTTTATCCTTTAAAACAGGGCACCTGCTCCTAACACATTTCTCTGTGTGTACTCCCTGTATCTTGCATAACAATGCCAGACACTCAGAATGTTTTTGAAAAATAAACATTTTTTTTAAAAAATAGACATCTGGTAATAATAATTTCCTTTCATTTTAAACACTTGTATTTGCAGCTGAAGAGAAAAAGACACATTATGGGACAGAATACAAACTACCTTAAAAAAAAAAACTCCGCAGCAAACACATTTCAGAAGGTAGGTCTATAAATAGACATGCTCCTGTGTGTACACTGTAAATATAAAATCATCAAGCTGGCTGAGGTTGCGATTTAAAACGGAAGCCACAATATGAACTTACCTGATTTTGAGATCCTATTAGCATATGCTAACAATCAGCCTAGGTATCTTTCTCTCTCCCTCTTTTTTTTTTCTTCTAGTTGCATAGTAAGGCAAAACACCCTCAACTACATTTTACTTATCTCCGTTCATCTGTCATCAGAAGCAATACTTTGTGCAATTTCATTCAGAAGCAGCCGTCCCCTAAGCAGACTGGGAATACGCAGAGAAACAGTAATGGAACGGATCTAAGTTAAACCTCACAGCGACACTGTGAAAACATCCACATCAAGCCAAAAGGCAGCCGCAGTTCCTTTGAAAAGAAGTGCTTTTCTCAGCTGCCTTTCCCAACCAGCCCCCTTTCAAACAGAACCCATCTCGGTGGCGTCAAAGGATCTTACCTGAGCTGATCCTACTGTGCATTCTTTGCTGAGCCAGGAGTTGCTCCCGCGCAGCCACCCCATCTGAGGAGAAACAGGAGGCACTCTCGTAAATTGTCTGCAGCATATTCCACCACTGTTAGTTCAGCTACATGAAAGATTCATCACTGGCCCCAGGAGCTACCCTGCCTGGTCTTCCCTCCTCCCTGAGGAGAAGCAACAGAAGATCAACTTCAACAATGATTTCCTTTCCGCTCAGATGGACATAACACTTTCCCTAAGACCCTAGCCAGGCCACTTTCCCCCACAATTACCAACCTGTGTGCCAAAGCGGGAAGGACCGAGTGGATGCAATAGCTCTCTGGAGTCCCAGGTTATCCTGGAAACTAAAAGCAGGTGGGGACCAGGAATGTGCTTTGGGGTTATTTCTTGGTCAGAAGAATTAGAAAAATTAGAGAAAAAGAAAGGAATTAAACCTGGCTTATAGTTTTGCGGGCTGCTAGGGTTTCCTGCCCTTCTTCTCTCTGTTTGTGTCTCTCTCTCTTCCCTTTCTCAGTCTCTCTCAGCTCAAGTTGGCTAAAGCTAGAGATAATCTATTTGCATATGAATCAACAACAGCTTGGCCCACAGGCACAGAAATAGAACAATGGTCGGCCTGAGCCAAAAATAGGTCAAGCTTGGCCGAGTGATTGGAGCCTGCATTAATGCATTTAAAAATACCCCAGCAAACCCAGCTGTCCAGCCTCTATCTTTCAAACCATAATTCTCTATTGCAGGGCCTTAAAAGCAATTAACTCTTTCCTCCCTAAGCTTGGTTTTACAACACTGTTTCCATACTGGCAATTCGCTTCCAAAGGAAAGAAGGAGAGGGGGAAAAAATTCAATTAAGAATCAGAACTCTTAAGAGGGCAAATGCACATACATTTCGTTTCATTTTATTTTTGTAGTATGTGTTTTTGGAAGGGAGAGGAGAGAAGTGCAGAGCTCTGTATTGGTTCTAAAATAATACTGGAAGCTTTTGCTCATAATGTGGTTTCTGCCTCGCCCACGCACAGCAATCCTGGTGTTCTATTTTTGTTGCCTGTTTCTCTGGCTACACTGCAGTTGGCTGAAGCCTTAGGAGCTTTTCTGCCTTCTAGTTTCAGCACTGACAGGAGATTTAGGAGAGGTAGTTTGGGAAAACAAGCACACCCCAGAATAAAAATTTTATGAAGGACTGGCATGATTTTTTTTTATTTTGTACTTGGTATTTATGTAAGGCAATTTTCCATTTCACAAATCCTAATGTGATCTTAGAGTCACCTATTGGTTTTATTGCATCGAAAAAACTAAAACATAAACTGTTGACCTGGAAGATTTCAATACCTCAGGCTAAAGCTACTTTACTTGGAAAAGGAAAAAGAATTGATACTTTCTTGGGAAGTCAGAAATATTGGATATTGGCACCTTTCAATAAGTAAGTAGTATGTTCATTACCTAAATATAAGTGGTATGTGTCTATGTACTGGTGGTGTGAGAGACAGAACTCACTTTTCTATAGAAATGGCATTTAAAATATCAACAGATCCCAGATGAGCACACATAGTGTGCCATTCATTTAGGAGTACACTACTCCAGATAGTATAAAAGCTCTAGCACTCTGGTACACACATCATTTCTCTATGAGAACTAAATCCTGCAACCTCAATGGGATGCCCACATTAACTGCTTTCCAAGGTTCATGCAACTGGTCACTGAAACTCATCTCTTTGTTCCAAACTACATCAATAAGAAAAATGTGAAATCATAAGGCATCATTAGCATCAGGGAGAGAAAGAGGAAAAGCAGATTTTTACAAGATGCCCAGAACAATCAGAAAATCTTGGTTACATACCAGGCAAGGAAATGTAAAGCAAGTAAGCAGCATTTTGGATAAAGGAAGAAATATATTAAAGCATTTATCAGAGAATTCATCTGTGACTTGCTCTTCTTTCAGAGATTGATTTCTATCCTCTACCTTACTTGTTGAAAAAAAACTTACTTGAATAGAAAAGTTATAAGAATTTTTAAGAAGTAGATATTTCAAGTTGCATTTAACGTAAGCTAAACAGCAAGAGTTTCTATTCCTAACAGTAGGGGGAAAAAATGCTTAATTCTAATGTATATTCCAACAGCCTTTCCATTAAGAAATATATGCATAAAGTTAAAGCAATAGAAATAATGTGGACCTCACTCTTATCCCTGAGGCAGATATAATTCTTTAGTAATCACATATATTATTTTATTGTTTTGATGTTATTGTTTTGGGTTTTTGTTTTGTTTTGTTTTTTTGTTGGTCATGTCACTTGAACTCTGGCCTGGTCACTGTTCCTCAGCTCTTCAGCTCAAGGCTAGTGTTCTACCACTTGAGCCACAGTGCCACTTCTGGCTTTTTCTATGTGGTGCTGAGGAATTGAACCCAAGGCCTCATGCATACAAGGCAAGCACTCTACCACTAAACCACCTTCCCAGCCCATTTTATTGTATTTTTATTTTTATTTTATGAGACAGAATCTCACTATGTAGATCAGGCTGGTCTAAACTCATGATCTTCAGACTCCTGTGTGCAAGAATTACAGACAGGCACCACCATGCTCAGCTATGCATAGCATTTTAGACCTGAGAGGAAATAAACGTAGCCCACAAATGATCTTAAAACTTTGCAGTAAGAAACAAAGGTACCTGGCAGCTGCCTGATATTCCTACAGAGGAGACTTTCCTCTTAACCAGAAAAGCTCTTTTTCATCTATATCTATATTTCAGGTTAAAATTTTTCTTTTAACATTTTTCATTCCTTTAAAGATGCATTTTAGGAGAATTTTTTTTTTGGTCCAGTCGTGGGGTCTGAACTCTGGGCCTGGGTGCTGTCCCTCAGCTCTTCAGCTCAAGGCTAGTGCTTTACCACTTGAGCCACAGCACCACTTCCGGCTTTTTTTTCTTATGTAGTGCTGAGGAATCGAACCCAGGGCCTTAGGCATGCAAGGCAAGCGCTCTACCACTGAGCCACCTTCCCAGCCCGCATTTTAGGAGAATTTTTAATTGAAGTACATTTGACAAATCAAGATTGCATATATATAGGTAGGTGCTTCATTATATGTTCATGATTGTAACCCTAGCTACTCAGGAGGCAGAGAGGTGAAGCTCAAAGCCAGCCAAGGTAGACAAGTCCCCAAGACCCTTATCTACAATTAACCACTAAAATATAAGTCAGAATTGGGGTTGAGGCTCAACTGGTAGAACAAAATGGTTCAGGGACAGAACCACCTAGGCCCTGAGTTCAAGCCTCAGAACCAGCACAAAAACAAAAGATTGAATATTAAGGCATACATGCTGATGATTTAATTAACATATACATTGTGAAAAAAAATCACAATTAAGAAACACATCCATTGGTAAGCTACCACTTTTCCCTCTTTCTTTTTGGCTGTCTTTCTGAAATGGAGTCAGGTTTCAACAGACATACTTAATAAGAAAACCCTGATAATTAATGATGTGTGTGTAGCATTAATGCTCTGCAATTCAACCATCTCGTCTCTTTCTTTACTAAAATAACGCAAATAATAATTTGAGACTTTCAGAATAAATTGTAATACAATCTACTGATTAAAAAAATGGAATGTGTTACCTAATCCTTTCAAGTGTTTTTTGACAAAATATACAAAAATCCTGATAAATATGTAAGAGGGATAACAAAATCATAATATTGGCATAATAGATGCCTACACATCTTTTGTCACTTTATGTTTAATTACACCCACAAACCACAATTAACTAAAAGGATCTCTATGCTTTTGTACTCATAAGCCAAAAAACAGACTGAAACGCCAGAATAATGTGTTATTAATTATCTTATTTCTCAGAAGGTCTGGGAAAGGTCATTAAAACGTTATCATTTTGACTGAAATTTTTAAACAGGAGGTTTATTTACATTTTATCTTTACGTTCTTTCAGGATTTTTCCAATAGAAATCTTGTATTTCATTTTAACTTTTGAGCATGGAAAATTATTTTAGTATAGAAAGATATTGGACACATCATAAAATAGATCCCCTTTGTCTCTGAGAATAAAAATAAATATTATCAAAGTTATTGATTACTATAACTTCATTGTCCAAAATCTTAAATAGTAATTCTTCTCATACCATCCCAAAAATGTTAGTAAAAAAATGTGACTGAATTTATCTCGGTGATATTTCTTAAAACAATTCCACTAATTACAACAAAAAATACACATTGTCTTTTGTCAGAACTTTAACAAGCTATAGCATAAATAAATGTTAAGCTGTAATAGAAGGGAGGGTATTTTGGAAAAATCTCTGAATCTCTGATTCAATTTAATAAGCAGTTTGGAAATATCATACTTTACATTAATACAAGTTTAAAATAGGGGGGAGGGGCAAAAAATTACCAGGCTCCAAACTGAATGGAAATAAGAATCAAACACATGCAAAATATCACTCAAAATTATGAAAATTTTAATTTTTTATATAGAAGTACATAAACTAAACAATAAAATCCAGATAGAACTATTCCAAGGTTTGGAATAGTTCAGTGGCAAACATTTCCCTACCATATGCAACCCATATGGGTTTTATTCTCAGCACTGCAAAAAAAATAGCAGTAAATAACTATCAACAAATAACAACTAATCTGAGAAATATCCTTAAACCTCTAGTTTAAGAATTATCAATAGATGTCTTCATTGTCTTCTGTCTAAAACTCCACTGCAAGCAAACAAGGAAGATGCTGCTATCTAATTTATCCTATAACAAAATATATCTTCCCATTTGTAGCCACATCCTATGATTCTAGAATCTAAGTTTCAACTTGCTTCCATAAACACTAAACTGCATTTTACCAGAATGCTACAAACTGCTTATCAATAACTTGTATCTCCATTTGCTCAGTCATCCCAGACATTCTCTCCTGACCTCATGTTTTGTAAACAATTGTTTACTGGAATAAAATTATATACATTTACTTACAATCAACAAGCTTGATCCCTACATCTCCCAGGAATTCAGGTGGAGAGGAAAATACATTTTATTAATTTTTCTGTTAATTTGATATCAATACCTAGTTCTGTGTGTGTGTGTGTGTGTGTGTGTGTGTGTGTGTGTGTGTGTGTGTGTGTGTGTGTGTGTTTGGATGTTTTTTCTACCTCTTCAAGGAAAGTACTGGTTCTTTTAGAATAGCTCTTTTAGAATAGCACCTGAAATATTTGCAAGTGATTTCTTCCAACAACAATTAAGTTAATCCTAATCGATCACTGAAAGGTTTTTGGAGAAAATTATTCCTCTACCAATTAGCCAGCAGAGTGAGAAAACTCATCTCTAGTGAAATTCCAGGAAGACTATTTTAGATGAAAATGGTAACAAATCAACAATTGCAAGAACTCTATAGTCACTGGTCTTGAGCTTTGGTTAAAAACAATTTCTTCTTTAACTCTTCCTTTGACATGAATATGTTGTTCTGTGATTTGCTCAAACTTTAGGGGTTAGAAAGGATCAGGGTAATCTG